TACGCCTCTTGTTGGTTGGTTTGGAATCAGGGTTTTTAGTCATTTCCCCTAAGTGAGCTGTCAGTGGTTCGCCCATCCGGTTATAGCCCCTGATGCTGGCTTTTTGTCCTCTCACTTTAGTGTTAAAAACAGTTACGGGAAGGCAGTAAGTAGGACTTCCTCAACAGAGGCTGTTTGAGACACCTGCTCGTATGGGAGCATTTCGCGAGGTGCACGGGAAAGGTGACTAGCCACAACCCGAGACACATCCTCGACCATACCAAGGCTTTCGGAAACGTCGACAGCAGTGGCGTTCTTAGAGTTTCACCTTTTCCCCTTCTTCCTCATTTTATGTCCAGTCCCTGTCCACCTTACATATTATTACTAACCTTGTATGCGTTGCGAGTATGGCAGCGATCAGCGAATTTCATTTCCCTGTATTTCGCTGTACGATAATGCTCATGGGGTCGACCAACTCAGCATTAAGGAAGGTTGACTGTGGATAATTCTGGTTGACTATAAAGCCTAAGTTTGTTATGACTCAATTCGTACACCACTCGTGATATGAAACAGTTTTTCCGTTACATCTGTTCANNNAACCCTTCCGGCCTTCTTCTGAAAAAGGCTTTCAACGATGTGCGAACAAATGCAGAGCCCCCGGAAATCAAAAGTGCTAGTTCTACGGGGAAAAAACTCACACATCAACCGGTAGCCTGGTGAGTTAACACGATTGCTCTGTAACTATCCGTGTTTTCGATTTCCGTTTAAACATAGCGTGACTTAAATGAATGTATGTGGATGAACTCAAACGACTTAGGTTAACCGTGCGATACACAGTCCCATTCTATTAGGAGCTAGCAACTGAACCGCAAGCAGAGTAGTAAGTTACAATAACGACCAAAAATCTGAGGTGCTTAACCACAACAGAAATCGTCGTTGGGCAAGTGGTTTTGAGTGCCTGTTTACCTGTGATTGAGCTCCATCTCCACCTGCCCACTTCGATAGTGATAATGCATCCGTTTACCTACCTATTTTTTACGCATATATAGTTTGCTCTCGTTCTTAATCTTAATCTTGGTGCTTTTCTTCTGTTTTGCTTGTTTTGGGAGTGACCTAAAGATAACAACCAAAACTGATTTGTTGAAATGCAAGTATATTGGTTATACTGGGTAGAAATAAAGCAATCACTTCTAAGGGTCTCAAAAAAACTGATCGAATTGCAACAACTTGTAGTTTTAGAATGAAATATTTTTGTGAAATACGAAACACCTAACCTTTCGGTGACCACTTGTATTTCATTCCTGTTCGGCGGTTAATTCATTTGTGAGATGACTTTTTAGGTCTCTTGAGAAAGTATTTGATAAAACATTGTTTGCAGCAGACTAAGAGATAGCTCAGAAAGTCTTTCATAACATACCGTATGTACTTATCATCTTATCTTCTATTAACTAGTATGATGAATTCCGACTTGTGATTTGAATTTTGTATTTCATGAAAGAAGTAATCAATGCAATTTATCAATGAATGTTATATGAAACATGTTACTTTGGAACCTTTATTATATATGGAAATGTTTTTCTGCTTGCAGTTCTGACGTGTCTTCATCCTCTCCCGATTCATCTTTCAATCGTACAAAATTCTACATTACACTTCCTGATAACAAAACTGTTCCAAGCTCTTTCGGTATGCGTGCCGAAAATTCGATAACTCCCGGTCGTTTTCGTAACCAAGTTGCAGTGGAAAGCACGAACACCAGTGTTAAGTCTCGTTTGGGATTACGACGACCTGTGCCCTATAGTCGTCCGGAGACTGGAAGACTGAGTGCCAAGGCACGACTCGGACCGGTCATCCGTCATCAGCGTCCGCACCGTTTGCAGCCCAGTATTCGCAGCCCTCGTCTTGCGACGGACTCCGAACAATCGTACGACGACCTGGACGATCAAGTGGATATGGTTGAAATTTTCGAAGGCGAATTGGACGAATCAAATCCGACCGAAGAAACTCACGTTGAAATGGAATCAGATGGGGACGGGATGGATCAAAGATACGTGCGTGCGCAACTGACCAGTACAGACGACACGAATGCTGCGGTCAAGACCCGTTTGATTGATCTAATTAATCAGAAGCAATTGATTGTGAACTTGAATGAAACAGATGAAGATGATGGGTTCAGTCCGGCTAAAGGTGCCGGAAAGAAGGCTATTTCACAGAAAAGTGTAACAGAAAACACAGAACACCCACATATACCCAGGTGAGTTTTCATGAGTTATCTTTTTTATCAATCGGCTGTAGTAAAGGCAGTAAGCCACATAGTTTAAAGACCTTATTTACGGGAATCAGGGAAGGGAGTAAAAACATTAAAATTTAAAAATTTGTCAGTTGTAATAAAAAAGGAACAGAGAACCAGAGGAATTGTTTCACAGATTGATGATTCTTGAAGTTCAATGTACCATGAAAGCAGAAATATGAATGGATTCGGGTTATCATGTCCTAAGGATGGTCTGCCATTTGTATGCAGATCTGAGGACCACACGCCTATCCCTACAAAGTCAAGTCACTATAATAACGATATAAAAGGAGATGAAAACGGCAGCCCCGTGATCTACTGTGATTCTATGAAGGAAGTGAGCATGGGATTACCGATGAGCGGAATTGATTTACCTCATACACAATGGAGTGGACAAAATTCCACCCCAAGCGTCATTTTATTATTCGGAGACTGGGTTGTATTCAATCATTATACAGAAATATAATTGGATGGGGTGTATAAGAGCGCATTACATGAAAGCGAAAAATCCTTTTAAACGCACATGAAGCTGTCGTGCAAGATTTAAANCAATAGGATTGTGAGATGTAAACTTCCGAGGGTAAGATGAGGGCGACAGAAATCTTTTTTGAAAGATAAACAACTTCAGATATAGCAAATGTTACATTTTCAAGTCACAGGCTACTTTCGATCGAAATAAGAGTCTCAGTATGTGCACAGGTGGGAACTATCGTCCGCAGATATTTCTGATAAAGCGTGATAAGTTTAGTAGGATAAAGAATAGTGGTGGNATCAACAGTGAAGATACAATGGGACTAAGTGAGGATGAGCATAGGTGACTAATCAAAAGAATATTAGTACGGATTATAGCACGCACCAAACACCAATAGATATTGGGGTGCTAGTGGCGCAGTAGTTTAGTTGCTGTCACCGGCTTGCTTTAGGCTCTATTGTCTGAGGTTCAAGCCCCGTCACCGCCACCCAACTTTGTTGGTAGACAGCTCTACTGTCGTCCAGTGCGATACCACGCCTAACCTAACGGGGCCTTATGTGGTTCGCCATTCCAAGTCCCGGGGCTTAGTTTGCCGGTTTCCACCACTGAACATCAGGTCCTCTTGACTATGTGGTCCGCCCCGTTTGCTGTTCATCACACTTCGGTGTGTAATTAAAAAAAATGGACGCATTTTGGGTTCAGCCCCATCAACTTCGATTTCAATACAACGGTCGCAGAGGAAATGCAAGTTCCGTTTATATATAGGTAATTTTGCCTGTGAACTTTCGTAACATTTTCAGTCACATGGTTTCCAGATACCCCAGTGGGACTAATCGTGATCGCTTTTGATTATATATACATGCGTGCATATATATATATTATTTGTATTATATATATATATATATATATATATATATATATATATACAACAGCTGTTTATCACATGCAAATATTGAATTTCGTGAGTGTGTAGCGTTGCACGTCATCATAACGTATTGTTCTTCTAGTTTCCTAAACCATGAGCCCGATCTCGATTCTCATTTCTCTTCTCGTTTCATTTCAAGATTAAAATGCATCCTCTATTTGTATTTCTTTTTTTCTACGTTCGGTATTTTGTTGATACCATTAGCTTTCAAACAGGCGAATACAACCAGTTGCGACTATTGTAACCATACAGATTTGTCTGTATACTGAATTCCCAAATGATCATCTTCTGATAACGCTGCTTCCCGTAGTGTGATTCCACAGATAGCTAAATGGAATACAACTGGAAGCATATAGAAATTCACCCATTGTTCAAAAAGTCTGTTGATTTATAGGGACGAAGGTTCACCTGGGAATGCGTATACAAAATGATTGACTGCTGTCTTAATTGGTTATCGGTTCCGACCAATCACATGGGTTGAGCCAATCCTTGTTCTAATTCATTGTCTCAGAACAAAACAGTTTTCACGAACTATACTGACTGACGGGTACCTGGGGGACAGTGTTCTCCAACCTGAGCGATTACATAATAAACAAGTCCGCTGATCATTAAGCCACCTTGATTTACTGTTCTTCCTTCCTTACCCCCTTGCATTCATATTTGTTTTAAATACTTGATGCGCATGACAGATCAGCGAAATTCGCCTCATTTTTTCCGCTGAGAAAATCGAGGTGCCAATCTTTTACTTGGTCGAAGACGAATTGTGATCGTGATATTATGTATTCCATACTTGTCTGAGTTCAAACTGTGTACCAAACAAATCACATCACTCTTTAGTATCCACTAGTTAACTTTTTCTTTATTTTATACTCCACCCTTTTCTTTTGTTGGCATCTAGTAGTCTGGATCGATGTCGATTTTGGCCCAATTGTCGCAACGGTAAAGAATGCCCCTATATTCATCCGTCTGAACCGTGCCCGACATTTCCCCGTTGTCGTTTCGGGGCCACCTGTATATATGTCCACCCTCCTTGTCGGTTCGATTTGGCATGTACAAGACCGGATTGCGCGTTTAGTCACAGTGCGAAAAGAGTACTACCCAAACTAGGTTAGTTTTAGTGTCAATTTTAACTTACCGATTATACTTGTGGTGCTGGTTTTAACTAACCCTAACTTGCGATTTCGATTTTCACTTGTGAACTTGGACAGTGTATTCATACCGTGATAAGTGTGGATCATTCGGGCCAATGATTGGCTTTAACATAGTTGCTTTTCCACGCTGCGGTCAGCAACGCTCAGTGCGCGTCCTTTCATGCCTAGGCGATTGATTTTGCCACAATGACAAAACATCTGAGCAACGAGAGAAAGAGCTAATAACAATCTGAGAACTGCTTGCGGACTATGCCACGCACTTTGGTTTTGGCCGTTGTACATCACGCGTTCGAGAACCTTGGCTGTTCATCAAACGGAGTTGTGGTAAATTTGAATACAGTTAACATATCGCTATAAATACACTGAATGAAAACTACAATCCATTAGTACGTAGGTTGCTGGCAAGTCAAATGACCTCGGTTGATAACGGTTTATCACAATCAGTAGGCCCATGTGCCATAAACTCCTGTGATCGGAGGAAACCAGTATCGAATAGAGACCTTGAATGTGTGGATAGACTACTTCCCAGATTGCCAAACCGAAAATACGAATTTTCTCGATGGGTTCCGAGCGTAATTAAACTGATCACATGCTATTCAATCAACATCAAGAGCTAAAATTCTATGAATGCTGCCGGTCAAATTGATTCACATGTTGCTCGGGTTTAGCTGCATCAAGAAAGTCCTGAATCCCCATCGTATCCTCAACTTTCGGTAACCGATCATGATCACACACACACACACACATGCACTATATATATATATATATTTCACACACATCTGATACCAGACTGTACCACACAAATCGTGGTACAATAATCTTTATAAAAAGAAAAACGTTCCACAATTTGCAAGTGGGCCGAATACTGCCCGGTTTCCCAGGCCAAGGCAGGTGAATTTTCTTGAGGAATTCACAACCGGAGCCTTTGGCTAGCCAAAGCCTGACCCGCAAGACAGCGGGGCGGTGTGCAAAAACCGCAATCCATCGGGAGCCGGTATCCAGTTCATCGGATCCTACNAAGGGAAATGATGTTTCCGATTTTATAGTCATCGATCTTTCTTGTGCGTTTGACACAGTCCCTCGATCGTCTCATCACCGTTCCGTATGGATTTGATTATGGAAACAGCCCCGTCCTCACACTAGGATAATGACATCGATTTTCTCCCAGGTGACAGACTGTTTGATCTGGAGTATGTAGACGACACTGTATTGCCAAACGAAGATCTAGGTAAGTTGTAAGATTTTCTGGACAGCTTGAAAGCCAGCGTAGCTATGTTCGGTATGCGTTTTGCACCCACAAAGAGTAAACTGTTGCTACAGAACTGGGTTGGTTCAGCTCCCAACCTCACTCTGACTGGAGAAGCAATACAGGCAATGAACCTATTTCCATATATATATATATATACATATATATATATATATATATATTCACACACGTACTAATC